AAAGTAACTGGTGACCAAATTTTTTCTAATAGCAAACATATAATGACATAAAAAAGTTTAGCATGCTTAATAATCAAGCTAATCTTACATTACCAGTAAATGTCTACAATCTTAAATCATTATGAATACTGAACACTGTGAATTAAACCTGTTTTCAGTTTAAATTTACAACCAATGGGAAAACAGTTATGAAATCTACATAAAGGATTTATTAAATGACAACACAGATTAGAAAAACTAGTAATTTTTTGACAATTTGGTTGAAATACAGAGAAGAAATCAGGCTTTTAATGAGGGGGAAGGAATTCTTCCCCAATTTGTGTTATATGTTATATATGATTTGGATTATGCCATACAGTGGTAAAAAAAAAAAAAAACTGCAAACAAAACATTATTCTGAGAGGGAACACAGGAATATACCAGGATGTAATATATGATGAAGTAAGCTGGTAGAAATAGTAAGATCTTCCATTCACTCTGCATGTTCTACATTGCTAGGCAGTACTGAGAATTTCAATGACTTTGAGACATTAAGTTAACCTTCATAACTTTTAAATGGAGGAACCAAGGTTCAAACCCAAGTCTAAGTGACTCCATAGTCCATATTCTTTTAAACCCCTATCCTATATAAAGTCTTTTAAGAGTCTGCATTAATTAAAGTGAAAGTCATCTGTGACAGAAGCAATCATGATAAACTAAAACATTGGTTCTCAAAGTATGGTCCAGTGTCCTAATAGGGGGTTCCAGATACCGTCTCACAGAGTTCACAAAGTCAAATTTATTCTCTCCATAAAATTGTTATGTGTGAGAGCATACAATGTTAACAGCTGTATTAATGCAAAGAAGGAAAAACTGCTATCACTTTAGTATAAATTAAGGCAACACAAAACACAAAGCTGTAATAGTGTCTTTACATTTCAGATAAAAAAAATTTTAGAAATCAGCTCACTTAAGAATGTCCTTGATGAGCCAGTAAAAAATAATGACTCTTATTAAATAATGGTCTTTTCTTTCCAATTGTATGATAAACAGGGATTATACATAAATCTCTTCTACAACATAACTTCTACAGTTGAATGACTGTCTCAAGGAAAAAAGTACTTATGTGATTGAGTTGTAAAGTAAACTAGCCATTTTTTTCAGGGAACACCACTTATACTTGAAAGAAAAGATAAATTATGGTCATTTGACTTGGTATCTGGCAGATATTTTCACAAAAATGACAAAGCCAGCCTACGGTTTAAAAGGAAATCATTTCTAGTATCAGTATTTTCTACTAATGATAAAATTTGAGCTTTCAAGTGAAAATCTGAATTTTAAAAAATTTGTGTCTATCATTGCAGGTGTGACAGATTTGTAATACTCAAGACTTTCCTGAACTGTGTGGTTACAATACTGTGAATTATTTCACTGTATAATAAAATGTGTCAGCATTTGGAAGATTTATATAACTAGTTTTTTTTTCCTTTATCAATGACATGATGATTTCCAAATAGCCCAAAATATATAACAAAATCAGGCAGCCAAAAGATTCATTTAAGTGCAAGTTACACCAATGTCTGTGGACCAATAGATTTTAATGTAACAGTGTAAGAAAAGTTTGAAACTATCATTTGTGTACAATCAAAAAATAATCTCCATAAATATCCTGAAAAGGTGATTAGTTTTTTCAAATGCCTATTTGTATGAAGGTGGATATTCTTTATACTTCAACCAAGGGTGTAGCACAAAACATTGAATTCAGAAATTAGGTATAGGAGCCAGGTACAGTGGTGCACACCTGTAACCTCAGCAGCTTGGAAGGTTGAGGTATGAGGATCACAAGCTCTAGACCAGCCTTAGCAATTTTGCAAGACTCTAAGCAACATAGTGAGAGCCTGCCTCAATAAATTTTTTTTTAAAAAGCAATAGATATGAGAATCCTGCTGTTTTCTCTTAAGCCAAATATTAAAAGAGACTTGAAAAAAACAAAGTTAAACATGGCCATTCTTCTCATTTAATATTTTTGGTTTTGAAAAACAAATAATTTTTCTATTAAAAATTTTATGTTTATATAAAATTAATTTATTATTTTTGTTTAAACACTTAAAATAAAGGTATAAAAAAATAATGTTTATTTACTTTTATGTGGTGCTGAGGATGGAACCCAGGGGCTCGCATGTGCTAGATGAGTGCTCTACCACAGAGCCACAACCCCAGATCCTAAACATTTTTATATATTCTTTCTTAGTTATATATAACACCAGGACACACCCTGACATGATCACAAAAACATGGAACACAACCTGCTCCAATTCAGTCCCCAGTACTACCTGGCTTTCCCCCTCCAATCCATCCACCCATCAATCAATCTATTTACTTATTATTAGTGTCTTGTGGATACACCTGATAAAAGGACCCACAGTGTCCCCATACATGCATATACGTAAATGCATGTCAGATGCATCCCACTATTCTTCTCTTTTCCCAATTCCTTCTTCCTCCTCCTTAATCCCCTTTACCTACTCTGATTCTTTCTCTATTTTGATGAAATTCCCTTAACACTTAAGGATGTTTAAAGACATTCTTAATTTTGATTTTTAAAATGTAAAATATCAGTAGAAATCCATCTTTAAAAAGTCTTGAGCCCAAAGCCTTTGAAAACTTCTGAATAAAGTCCATTACAAAAACATATATATTGTCTTTATTTTGTTTGTGCCAATCAAAAAGATTGTTCTCATATTAACTGTAGAAAAGAGAGCCTCCTCCAAGCCTGTCTTTTACCAAATCTAAACAGAAAGCATAGAAAATAGATTGTGTTCTCTAATATTTAAAGTTCACAAATGATACACAATTTTACAAAAATCTCTAGAGGGGAAAAAAACTTACTGAATATCTATTACACTTCTACAAACTATGCTAGGTGCTTTCACTTAATAAAATTTGAGATCTGCATTTAAGCTGAGAAAAGTTAAGGTAGGATGATACAGTATAAAAAGTATAGACTTTGGCATACCTGAATTAAAATTATTCCTTTAACTGTTATGTTGTCAAGACAAATGCAGTTTCTTCTTTAACATGCACTTAATAAAGGCAAGCAGCTATTCAGGGGGCTGAGGCAGAAGGCCAGCAAGTTTAAGACCAGCCTCAGCAATTTAGCAACCCCCTCAGCAACTTAGTGAGACCTTCTCTCAAAAAAAGGACACCGGACATCCTGGCTCAGCCTGTAGTCCCAGCTGCTCGGGAGGCTGAGTCAGGAGGATTGCAAGTTCAAAGCCAGCCTCAGAAACTTAAGGAAGACTGAGCAACTCAGTGAAACCCTGTCTCTAAATAAAATACAAACTAGGGCTAAGGATGTGGCTCAGTGGTTGAGTGGCCCCGAGTTCAATTCCCAGTACCATAAATAAACAAACAAATAAATAAATAAAAAGGATTAGCCGGGCACAGTGGCACATGCCCCAAATCCCAGCAGCTTGGGAAACCGAGTCAGGAGGATCCCAAGTTCAAAGTCGGCCCCAGAAACTTAGTGAGCCTAAGCAACTAAGCAAGACCCTGTCTCTAAATTTAAAAAAATAAAATAATAATAATAATAATAATAATAATAAAAAGGCTGGCAAAACGGCTCAGTGATTAAGTGCCCCTGGGTTTAATCCAGCTACCAAAAAAATGAAAAAAATAAAAAATACATAAAAGAACTAGGAAGTTACTCAATGGTAAAAGCACCCCTGGGTTCAATCCCCAGTACCAAACAACAAAAATAACAATAATTCCTACTTCTAAGACTGAAAGACATGAGAATACAATTAAAGGTATATGAAGAAGGTGCTCAAAAAGTCCTTTTCAATCATACTCTTCCCTCTGTTCTAAAACTAAACCAGAGAACAAGAAAATCAGCAAATAAGGTTAAAATTTGATGACATACTCTCATTTCATCTTTATAGGACTCAAGTAGATGCTACTCTAAATAACATCCACTATTTTAAGGACCCAAAACTTGTATCAGTGATTAGGGTTCAATGTTTAAAAACTACCAATGCTAGGATGCATGAAGATCTGGGTTCAATCCCCAGCACCATAAAACAAAACAAAACAAAACAAAACAAAAAAAAAAAACCCTTCTTTCAAACCTAAATCACTCCAACACTTCTTCTTAATTTTGAATATTCACTTGACACACTAGTGATAAGAAAAACAATGACATCTTGATATCACTAAGAAAATTATCAATGAAACAATTCTGAAATTGGTCATTTTAGAAATCAGGAAAGTTGGCAGGAAGCACAAAAATAATTGTTTTTAACTATATTTCCATCAGATATTTCATATCATCACATGGTCGAACAATTATATTGAAAATTAGGCAATAGTTATTTTAAGTACAGTAAATATGTTCCAAGATTTGTGATGAGATAGATCAGTCGCTAAAAGTTAACAAGACTTAATAGCTTAACAATGCTTTTCACTCTACACTTCAACAAATCACTAAGGCTATTTCCAAAAAACAAAATAGCTGATTAATTTTACTAAACTCTTGTCAATCAAACACTTTAAAAAAAAATTCAAGCAGACTTCATAGTTTGTGTGGAAAATCAAATTATGTAGCATTTTAATTTATTTTTACATAAGATCTAATTATTTTTCTAACATGTGATACTCTCAGAACTTTTATAGAAACTATGCAGGTTTACGCTACAAAAGAAGTCCTCTCTAAAAAGTAAGCTGAATGAACTTAATTTTATCCTGATTAATTTCTTATTGCAAGTTTGGTTACTAATCATTTCCTGTGTTGTACTGTTTACCCTCTCTAGGGCTGGGGAATGCAAATCAGTGATAAAGCACTTGTCTAGCAATTCGCCAGGCCCTGGGTTCAATCTGAAGCTCAACAACAAACTGTTCACCCTCTCTATAGTTACTATTCCAAAGCTAGTAACTGTGATCCTTTACCACACTACAAGGAAGAAGACAAGCACTGGTGGATATCATCTGACAATTCCTGAAAATTATTTCAAATGGATACTCACATATATTTCCTTTGATGCTTTTGTGTTCCAAGAAAGTTAGCATGACCATATTTTGGAGGAGCCAGAATGGTATACTGAAAGGGAGCAATGAATATCAGATTGAAAGCTATGAATCAGTTTCAACTTTTAACACTCAGAAATTATGATTGTAGAAGGGTCACTAATTCCCTGTTGCCCACATTATTCAGTGAGCAATCACATGTCCCTGTATTAAAAAGCATTCCCCAATAACTTAAGCTATATATACACACAGAGAGAAAAAACAGAGCCAACTGCAAATAAGGGACAGAATCAATTACATTTAATCCTATTAAGTCCTCAAAACCCCAAAAAGAAAAGCTGAAGATGATAAAATGCTTAGAGAATTGCCAGACCATCTCCCTAACATTAACCTATCAATCTTCAAAACACTCATGAAGCAGATGTCAAGCACCTCTAGTTTTACAGAGGAAAGAACCCTAAGACTAAGTGACTTCCTCCATTATCACATAAAAAGTTAAAGATCAGATTAAAATAAACTCTAGGACTCTGTACTCTTCCATTAATCAAGAAAACTCTTAGGTCAAACCCCCAAATGCTATAATTACCTCACTCTATATGTATCCCCCCCTCTTTCCCTCTCTATACATATATAATGTTGTCCAATAAGGTACCCACTAGCCATGAAATGCAGCTACTCCAAAAGAGAGTGTCAAATACAAATTAGATTCTGAAAACTTAGTATTAGGATAATATAAAATTTTGATTTTCTTTTCTTCTTTTTTTTTTTTAATACAGATCACATGTTGTAATGGTATTTTGGACATACAGAATTAAAATTCATTGTACAGCACTGGTTCATACTTCTTTCCAAACACCTCCCAATGAAAACAGATGTCATTTTAATATTTAAACCAAAATGTAATTATTTTCAAAACTGTTACATCCTTATATACATTATGTGTGTAACATATTTGGAGGGGGAGAAAATAGGCATAATATATCCATGTTGAGAGACATAAGAACATATACAATTAAACACAAAATAGGTGATTATAGTAGTCACAAAAATTTTTTTTAAAAAATGTTTCTATCTATCTCATTACAAATATATGGGATTTTTATGGGGTTTTTGTTGTTGTTGTTTTGTGTGGTTGAGGTCCAATCTCAAGGACTCACCCATGCTAAGCAAGTTCTCTACAATCCAACCAGTAGAAGTGATTTAACAAGTCACAGTGAGGAGAAAGTATGACTCTCCATTACAGTAATATATCATTTTCTCAGATGGAAAATAAAAAATATTCCTAATGTACATGTAGATATATCAATCATCACAGGTTACCCATGATGAACCTTAAAATATCTGCCTAACATGTACCCACAGTAGGGCTTTTTTGGTTGGCTTTTTTTTTTTTTTTTTTTTTTTTTAGGTGGACTTGGTATGTTGCCCAGGCTAAAGCATGGGCTAAAGCAATCCTTCCATCTTAATCTCCCAAGTAAGTTGACTACAGGCCTGTACTACCACATCTGGGTTATAGTTATTTAACTACATATACTATTTTAATATATATTCAGCATTTGATCTCATTTTGACTAAAGAAGCAATAAATATACAGTTAACAGTAAAGATCAGTTTTAAAACCCAGGACAACTTTAGAAAATAGTCTGACAATCTCATAAAAGGTTAAATATCAAGGTTCCATATAACCAGACAACTCCACTCCCAGGTTTTATAACCAAGATAAATTAAAACAAGTACAAACAAAAAATGTGTACATGAAAGTTCTTAGCAGCACTATGTATAATAGCTAAAAAGTGTGAACAATGCAAATGTCCATTGACTGATGAAAACACACAATGTGGTATATATTCATATGCCAGACTATTTTTCCCTTAAAAGAAATGAAACACTGATACACTGTTATAACATTAATGAACCTTGAAAACATACTACCTTGAAAGATGGCTGTCATAAAAGATGACATATTGTATAATTCCATTTATATGAAATGTCCAGAATAGGCAAATCTATAAAGACAGAAAGTAGTTGCTTGGGGTTGGGGTAATTAGGAAACTGATAATCACTGCTAATGAAGAATGGTTTCTTCCTAGGGTGGTGAAAATGTTCTAAGATTGATTTTGATGATTGTTGTACAACTATGTGAATGCACCAAAAGCCACTTTAAATGGGTGAATTGGATGGTATGAGAATTACATCTCAGTGAACCTGTCAGAAATAACAAAGCAGAGGGAAAAAAGGATTACAGGGATTCATCAAACACCTAATAGCTACTTTTCTGGATTTTGTAACTGTGATATTTATCAGTTTTTAAGGTTGTGATTTTTTTTCTCACTCTAAGTATTCATATTAGTAAAAAAAATTTCCATCACATTCTTGCACAACCAAATTATTTGAAGTCATAAACTGTACTGACTTTTATGGCACGTTAATTATTTCAATAAAGAGTTCTTTTCATTAGAAGGATAACAGGGCAATCATTCTCATGTTAACCTTAACACAATCAGAGAATAGCCACACCTCCAGACATGTACTCCCTCAAAATATGAAAACCACTAAAGGAACACAAACTACTTTAAAGGCTGAATAGTTCTGTGAAAGCTCAAAAAAAGTTACTATCTTAACCAATTAAATAATCAAGATTAGACACACATCATAGGGATTTGAAGATCACAGTATTAAAATATGCAGAGGGCCAACATAAACTATACTACTTTACCACTTTTTCTTAAAAGCTAAACTCCTGACTCAGAATGGATTAAAAAATTAGGAACCTAAATTCTTAAAGCTGAAGTGAAGTATTTTATCAAAAATTTCGGCGGTGAATGCGTGCATTTAACACATAACACCTTATGTAGACTGACAATTTCGGAAGCAGCTGAATCTAAGACAATGAAGCTTTTTTTTCTTTTCCTTTTTAAAAATCATAAAACGTGATGATGCCATTCCACAGCCCACCCCATCCCCCATTACCACCACCAGCAGGTGGAGGGAAAGGATACTGTAGACTAGAGGATGACAGCTTTGTATAACCCTTTGGACTTTAAATGTAAGAATGCAGCTGGTGGTCTCTCTGGAGGGGCTAAAGAGATTTGTGAACAAGCTGAAATAAGGGGTATCCTTTGCCTGGAAGTGGGCACACCGTGAGCCACATCTTGAATCAGCTATATCCAGAGTAAAACACAGGCCGCTGGAAGGCACTGTTAGCATCACCAGGATGGCCTCTCACGCCGGGGGTGTTTTTTTCAACGGAGAAGTTGACTCCTGTAGTTTGGACATTGAGGGGAGGCAGGGGTAAAGCGGGAGTCGGGAAGACCAGAAAAAATGCCTTTAAGTGGAGGCGCCTTGGGTCTCGCTGAGGAAGTTCCGAGCCCCACTCGGTCGCACACGCACGCCTCCCCCAACTCCCTTCTACCCGCGGCGCCAGACGGCGGTGCCCGAGCGAGAGCAGGAATCTCCGCCACTGCCGGGGAGCTGGCCGCGGCAGGGGGGCAGCGCGGGCCACACACACACTCACACGCCTACTCCGCACTCGCTGCGCCCGGCCTCCCCGCCGCGCGGCCCAGCCCCTCGCACCCGCAACTGGCCGGCTCCACAGGGCAGGCCTAGGCCGCGCCAGCCGTGCCCCAGCACCTTGTTCCCGGGCGGAGGCGGAGCAGGCCCTACACAAACTTCCCGGCGCGTTAGCAGAGGCGTCACCGACGGGCCAGCCCCCAGCGCCATTCCCTCGCGGCCCGGCGGCGGCGCCCGCCCCTACCCCCCGCACCCCGAGTCCCGGCGGAGACCGGCCCAAGGCCCACGGCCCCCACCCGCCGGCGCCCCGGAATTTACCTCCAAGTCACGGCCTTTGTTCTTGAAATTCTTGAGCCGTTGGTTGTCTAATTTCTCGTTGTCCGCCATGGCCGGGCCGGTGACTCCTTCCCCCGCCCGGGCCCCGCGGGATCCGCCCCAACCACCGCGCCGCACGGACACTCCCAGGAACCCGGCCGCTGCCTGAGCAGCTGTGCCCTCCGGGCGGCCGCTTCCTTCCTCCTCTCACTTGCCTCCGCCGCGGCCTTCTCCCGCTCTCCCCGCCCGCCCCCCCTCCCTACCCCCAGAACGACAGCAGCTCCGGTGAAGACAACTGTGGGGCCGGGCGGCGGCAACGGCGGCGGAATGTGCGGCCGGCTGAGAGGGGGAGGCAGCCTCGATATGGGAGCCCCGGCGCCGCGGCCACGCCCATCGCCACCAGTCCAGCTCGCCGATTGGCCAACCAGGCTCCGGTGCGCTCGGCCAATCAGAAGGGACGATGGAGAGCGAACAGAAAGGGGAAGAAAGCGACCCTGGGAGGAAACGGCCCAGGGCTGGGTGAGTGGGTGGGGAGGGGAGGGGAAAGGAGGGCTGCGGTGAGGGTAACGCTGGGCGGGACCTAGTGTCTCCCGAGAGAGGGCGAGGAAGTGAGAGAAAGTAGATTTCCGAGGAGAGAGGGTAAAAGAAGGAGAAGCCGGGAGACTGGGTGGGGACAAGCTGGTTTGCTGCTGTTGTCAGGGCAGCCCCAAAAGTCTGGGGTCCAGGGTCAAAGAAACGTTCTTTTCTCCTCTGGTGCGCCCTCTCTTCCAGGGCATTTCTTGAGCGCTCCGCTCGCTTTTCGAGGAGAGAGACCTGCGCCTTGGCTCCACGCCGGATAGGGCCAGACCTCCAAGGGCCAGGTCTGGAGCTGAGGACTGGCAGGGGCTACAAGCGTTCCGGAGGCGCTGAGCAAAGTGAGAGGGTGGTGATGGAAAAGAAAAGCGGTCCGTTAGATGAATTGGATTTATCCTGAGTACCCGCAACAGGTAGGAAACTAGGTAGAGTTGATGAGCCTGTGATGATACCGCTTCCTAGGTGTTTCCTCATAGAAACTTGAAGAAGTTACTTGGCCACAAAATGAAAACTTATACAGGGCGGGGATCGTGGCACACAGCCATATAACATTGTAACTCTTGAGAAAAGAAATGAATTCCAAGGGTAGCAGGGGCAAAAATAACGCAAACACAAAAGAATGTACTCAGATTTTTCAAAAAAGAAGATGCAGTATCCCAAAGATACAGTGTTAGGTGAAATGCAGTTAGGGTGCGAGCGGGGAACCGAGACATTGAATGTATTTCTATGTGGCAAGGTAGGAGGAAGAGACCCTAACTCAAACCCTTTCTGGAACTTTTTAAACTTTTGGTCCTGTCTGGTATATTTTGTGGAGCAAAATACAGAAATAAACGTTTAAAGTGGAAGCGTTTCTTAAACACTTTTAAGGCAAAGGAGGGTTTTCGTTTGTTTTGTCTCTCTCTCTCTCTCTCTCTCTCTCTCTCTCTCTCTCTATATATATATATATATATATATATATACACACATGTTTTATATGTATATATATATTTATATTTTATATATATATGCTTTTTTAAAGAAAGTCAGTGGGTTTATAGAACTCAGAGCACTGGAATACTATTGAAGTCGCTTGAAGGTGTTACAATGAAGGAAAGGTAAAAATAAACTTTAGAAAATAAACTTAGCAAACAAACTGTGCCTAGAAATAATTCACACCGAAGATTAACTTGATTGTAAATTAAATGCAGACCTTAAAATAAAACTGGTAAGATTGTAAATTTTTATTTCCCAGAGACTTGTTTAATTGAAATAGTATTATATTTGAATGCTAGAGTACTGATGTATTTAAAAGTTTAGGATAAGAAAATTAAGTTGTAAAGCATGTGTGCTTTTCACCATCATATTTTGTTCATAAGTAGGATTCAAGGAAAAAATGCACTGATGAATTCTATTCTGCTATTAGAAGTTATCCTGTCAACGTGCATGTATAGATGAATACTTTGTACTTCTGGAAATAAATTTTATGATAGTTTTTGTGATGAAGTTCATGGAATTAGCTACTGTTGTGTAGGTCTTCATGTCTCCCAGCTACAACTGGTTATATCTGATAATAAAACAGCCTAAAATTCTCTTTGCAGAATTCTCCTTAAATGGGTTTGACGACTGTTATCAACTGGGAGAGATGTAATCCAAATAATATTTAAACACATCTTATAATTTTATTTGTCTAATGTCTGGCTGAGGTCTGCCTTCCTCTCCAGACAGTAAGCTCTTTGAAATCAAGGATCATATTTATTTTGTACACTATGTATATATAGAATGCAGTAGTACTCAGCACATTGTATGTTCTTGGTGACTATTTGTCAGGTGCAACAAGTGAATTTGAGCTTTTTAAAATATATGTCTCTAAAGTTGAAAAACAAGTTAACACTTCTTGATGTAAATGTACATTGAGTTGTTATTGCTTCTGATTTACACTGTTTCATCTAAAATTTTTGATTTGATATCCATACTAATTTCAGGATTAAAATTTAAGGAATAAGTCAGACATGATTCAGGGCAAGACATGCCCTGCCCCCACATTTAAAAGCAGATGGATACACTTTGTTAAGACAGTTTAATTATAATTCATAGGTAATCTGTTTGCTGGCTTAAGTTTTTCACTTGAAGTTGTTACTAGTTTTTTGCCAACAAGTTTACATGTTTGGTGTCTGTACTTACAGTTCTTCTGATATAGAAGATAAATAATTTATCAAGGAAGTTTTTCAGGGAGTTGGTAATAGTTCTAAATGCAGATTGGCCACCTAATTGGCAAGACATGATAGAACTAAGTCTGGTTAGGAGGTTTGGGAAATTTAATTTGTTGAACTAAGGAAGTAGTAAACTGCAGAACTATTAATACCATTTTGACATTATTTAAGTTTGGGTTGCTATAATAAGTTAAACATATACTTGGTGGCTTAAAAAACAGACAGTTTGAAGGACATGAAGTCCAATATTAAGGTGCTGGCAGATCTAGTAACTGGTGAGGGCTTTCTTCCTGGCTTGTAGATGGCTTATCTTCTCTTTATATTTTCGTGTGGTAGAGAGCCGCCAGAGAGAGTAAACTGTCTCATGATTTCATTACCTTTAGTGTCACTTCTTAATACTGTCACATAGGGGATTAGAATTTCAACATGAATTTTGGGAGGGACACAAAAATTCAAGTCTATAAAAAATATGGACTAATTTAACAAAGAGGCTTTTGGAGTGTATGAAATATAGTTATTATAACCAAGCACTACAAAACCTACTCTACATTTAAGACCTGTTTCCAATAGCCTATTCAATGTTAGGTAACTTAATACTCAACTTATTATTTTTGGCATAGGGAAACTCTAAAATATTATAGAGATATTTGCTTTCAGTGTATCATGAAGTTCTCTTAAAGTCTTGAATAAAGAAGTTTTCTGTTCTGCAACAGATTTGTTGAGGGGATTGTGAAACCTCACACAAGCTTTCAGTTGGTATAGATGGTCATCTCAAAAGGAATTGTAATTTTTAATTATTTCAGCAGTTTGGACTATTCATGTATACATTAAGTTGAGGATTATAGAATCTCTAATATGGATTTTATAGTCTATATTTGGGGAATACTTTCAATTATGTATGATTTCTTGAGCAATATTTTGGGTAGTACCGGCTGAAAAAAAGAAGGAAATATACATGTTGCTTGGACAGTTGGGTTAGATCTTATTTTAGAGAAAAATATTGAATCTTTGGTAATTGCTATAGTTTAGATGTAGTTTGTTTCCCAAATATTCATGTATTGGCAGCTTGGTCACTTGTGTGGTAATGTTGAGAGGTTGTGGGACCTTTAAGAAGTGAGACTTAGGGACTGGGTTTGTGGCTCAGTGGTAGAGTACTTGCCCAGCAAGTATGAGGCACTGGGTTCAATTCTCAGCACCACATATAAATAAATAAATAAATGAATGAATGAATGAATGAATGAATAACATGAAGGTCAATTGACAACTAAAAAAAATACTGAGGGGGTGGGGAGAAGAAGTGGGACCTAGTAGGAGTTGATTAGATGTTATGGGTAATTGCCCTGGGAAGGGATTAAGGTAGTTCTCATGTGACCCTGAGTTAGTTCTCAAGATTAGGTTGTTGTAAAAAATGCAAACCTGGCCTCTCTTCTCCCTTTGACTATCTGTCACACCTTGTGATCTTTCCCTCTCACACTCACTTTGTCCCTGATGCCATCTGTCTTGATGTGATAAAGCTGGGGAGTCCTCACCAGAGCCATTACTCTGCTGTTTGAACTTTGAGCCTCCCCACTGTGAGCTAAGTAAACCTCTTTTCTAAAATTTCTTTAGAAAGTACCCAGCCTCAGGTGTTTCTTTAATCGAATATAAAATAGGCTAATACAGGAATGTCCCCTTATTTTCTCCGGAAAGTAAAATCTACCAGGTATTAGAGGACTTTGCTCCTTTCTCTCCATTGCCAGACTTTTCTGACTTATAACCTGGGGAGATTGGAGAAGATGACTTCTTTATTTTGACTAAATGAAAAGATGAAGATGAGTTAAAAATTAATATTAAAATGAGAGAAGTGAATCACCTAGTATTTATTTATCTTATTTCTTTAAAAACTTAGTTTTGAGTCAGGCATGGTGGTACACACCTGTAATTCCAGTGACTTAGGAAGCTGGTACAAGAGGATTGAATGTTCAAGGCCAGCCTCAGCAACGTAACAAGGCCCTGTCTCAAAAAAAAAAAAAAAAAAAAAAGGATTGGGGTATTGCTCAGTGGTAAAGCACCTCTGATTTCAATCCCTGTTACCAAATATAAACAAACAAACTTAGTTTTGACAATTTAATTGGAGAAAAACTGAGTTTTTCCCCCCAATGTCCATCTGATTACTTACTTCAGACATTTGTAATCCTATTTTTAAAAATTTTTATTTTTAAATAATCACAGGAATTGAAAAAAAAGTACAAGAAGGTCCCATATACCCTTTACTGTCTCCCCCAATCGTTTCATATTACCTAACTATAGTATACTATCAAGAAAAGGCAATAAATATTGGTATTATTATTATTTAAGTTATTCAGAGGAGAGGGAAGACATTAGAATATAAATAATATGTGAAGGTATCAGGGGTCCCCATATACTAGAAACTCTACAATCCTACACTTTATGGGAAAGAATTCTATAGTTACAGTAATAATTACTGTTACCAACTATTGAATA